AACCAGCCATCCACTAGTACAGAAATGCTTTCACAAAAGAGGGTTCTAATAACAATATCAAAGAAAATAATAGAATTTTATGGAAGTTTCAATTTAGAGTCATTGACTGTAAGACATATAGATTTGGAGATATGTGTAGGAACAGATACAACACAGAATACTTGTCTAGAAATTATGGTAATAATCTAGGGATGTGTTCTTAAACTTTTGAATGTTCTATAGTATTTCCTTAAATAGCCTAAAGCTTTAAATATACTTTTCTGGTGAAAGATACTGGTAAAGATCTAATAGGTTTATTTATGCTAGGTTTACTTTTATTTTACTTAGAAGTCCAAGAAAATGTACATACTGCAAAAAAAAAAAAAGAAAGAAAGAAATCAACTGAAACGCACATATAGAAAAATATCAAGGGTTTGCTTGATTTTATGACTGGCAAATGTAACTTTTATTTATTAATACATAAACTATAATGAAGGGTAAGTGAGACATTTGAGTATACCAGCAACTCAAAATGTGTCTCCTCAAACTATACACAGAAGCTATATGAATTAATTAAGTACTGTAGTTTTTTTTCTCTTTGCTCTTTGGGTGTCTGCCACCCACCTCCCAGACTTAACTTGGCTTATTTCTAGCCAGCTTTTCATAACTTAACTTAATTAAATTAAATTATCCCATCAACCTTTTGCCTCTGAGCTTTTATCTTTCTCTATTTCTGTATACCTTTCTTTATTGATTACTCTGTGACTTGTGCACCTGAGTGGCTGTCCCCTGGATTCTTCCTCTCCTTCTTCTTTTGTTCCCTGATCTTTGCTCCCAGATTTCTCCTCCTTTTTATTCTCTGCCTGCCAGTCCCACCTGTCCCTTCCCTCCTGCCTAGCTATTGACTGTTCAGCTCTTTATTAGACCATCAAGTGTTTTAGACATGCAAAGTAACAGAGCTTCACAGAGTTAAACAAATGCAACATAAAATAATGCAACACATCTTGGCATCATTACACAAGTGTTCTACAGCATAAATAACTGTAACACACACATCTAAATTTATATTCCACAACAGAGTACAAACCCAGAAAGTAGTTTCTAAATGGAAGCCTCTTGACCACCTCTCAACATGAAAATCTGTTAAAAAGTGTAAATTATTGAACTCAATTTTATATTTGTTGACAAAGAAACTTAAAGAATAAAGCTCGCCAATATTTTTAAAAAGTTCTGGTAATATCTATGTCTTGTAATAACAAGACGGCACTAACTTATCAAGAACAGGGATCTGGGTTTGAATTTTAATTCATTAGTTGTATAATTTTCTTAGGAAATAATTTATATAAGGCAAGCTTCAGTTGTTTCTACCCATAAAGAACTCTCAGTAGGTTTAATGTGAGAGCTAGAGATTAAATCTGTATGTGAATTAATTTTTATAGATCCTAACATATAGCAAGGACCAAGGAAGTACATCTTTTATTTAGATGTGGAAATGAATGGTAATTTAGATGGGTTCCTTATTTTCATTTTATGTTGAGAGAAATACTGACATCTTTAACAAAGCAGGATAATATGAAATATGATATTACAATATAAAGCATTGAATCTCTTTACCATTTTTCATTTGTAATCTCAACTAAGAAAGTGACCTCTGGTTAATCTATTAAACAATTTATTTCCTGTTCTGGTCTTTTTTTTTCTCATCGACTTCACATAAGCTGGTTATGAAGGGGTAGAACCTAGAAAATGCATATATTACAGTGTCCTGTACCCAAGTTTGTGGAGCATTTTCATAATTAATGACTAATATGAATGCAACCAATGTTAAATTTGGTTTTGCTTTTATTTGATTGTGACTGTGCCTTGGTTCTTCCTTCCTGGAGCCAAAAAATATTTTTTAACTTTATTATTTTAATTTATGGGTCCTTTATTTGACATAATTTGAACATTTTAAGAGACTTAACTTGTTTCAATGTTTGAATTTTTAAAGACTGTGAGGCTTTTAAAAGTTGGAATGTGCTTATATTGATATATCAATATTAACATGAGACCTTGGAGATAAGCATGAAGGAAAGTTTGTGGCTTAATAATGATGTGCTTGCCTGTCAAGTTGACTTGGGCCAATTGTGTTTTTTTTCCCAGTCATCTTGACACAAACAAAAATTATCTGGAAAGAGGAGGATAGGAATCTCAATTGAGAAAATACCATCATTCACATTAATTTTATGGAAATCTGTAGGTCATTCCCTTAATTAGTTATTGATGTAGTTTGACCCACCACACATCAAGACAAATGGTCCTCAGTTGTTTAAGAAAGAAGGCTGAGCAAGTCATGAGTAACAAGCCATTATGCAACATTCTTCCATGGCTTCTCCTTCAGTTCCTGCCTTCTGGTTCCTGCATTAAATACATGCTTTGACTTCGAGCAATAATGTCTATCAATAATGCAATGTAACCTATAAAGTATAGTAAACCATACCTCCCCAAGTTGTCTTTAGTCATGATGTTTTATCACTACAATAGAAACTTTAAGTAAGATATTCCTCAAAGTTATGATGTTTTATATCACACATTTACAAAGATGTGTAAAAATATTGGAGCTCCATGCTTTTTGATTGTCCCTCATTTGCCACTAAAATTATTGGTCAATCTGTCAACAATTAGGTTTAAAGTATTGCAGTCAATGATGCAAGGAACAGAAGACATAAAATCCATGATCCTTGACTGCATAATTAGTTATGAAATATGTATATGAATATTTCACTAGCACTCTGGGCAGCAAGCAGTTTTTAAGTGAGGAATAGTAGCTATATCTGAGGGTGATGTTGAAAGCCACACAGAAACACGTAAGTTCATTGCTACTAAGCTTATATGGTTCTTTATCTCTTTCTGCTCTTTTTAAGTGTTTCTAGCATCTATAGTCTGGGTCCTCCCTCGTACCACAACCTAGATGACTTTCTCATCATCCTCTATCACTTATTGACTCCTTTGTGTCTGACACCCATGACTCATAACTTGACTGAGAATAAGAAACATCTAGGGGATAGGTTTTGTATCTTCTTAACACATATGTGTTTATGCTTCTAGCAGTATGTGCTGCTTAATTTTTTATGAAAATACTAAAATGAATTAACTCCTGTGTCCTTTCCCAGGTTCAGTTTTTCTTATGTTCTACTTTTCTCTGCTGATTAAATTAAGGATATCACTCCAATAATTAACACTTTTCATCCTTGCAGTACCACACTTCTTTGCAATTGGGGCTACTCTATCAGTTTACAATCACATCTTACATTTTCCTTTTAGTAATCCTTTTCATGACTTTAATTCCCTTCTAAGTGAATGTATAGTTTTTCTCTCACTCTCTCTCTCTCCTTTGTCACAAAACTCTAAAAAATACTTACTAACCACTCATTCCAAAGTGAGCCCATTTCCATTCTTTTAACATCAATCCAATGAATCTCTTTCCACTTCCTACTGTCTACCTTTTCTGCATTGTCCACTTCCTAGACTTTCCAAATAATTTTTACCACTTCCTCTTACACAAGATCCTATCTCACTCCATAAATCAGTACCTGACAGTTGCACTCCTTTGACCAAGTCCCATCTTGTCCTGCACTAATAATGAATTCATTGATGCACATGGTCTGCTAGACTTTATGAAATATATACAGTGGGAAATTCAGTCCCAATGTTCCCACTGCTGAATTCAAAAGTTTATTAAGAATCAAGCAGACAGCCCAGAAAGGCTAGGTTGGTTATGTGTATCTGGCCCTGGGATAGGTCATAGACACTGTGGACAAGAGGCTTTAACCTGAAAGGAGCTTCTTCTCAATGAACAGGTGCCATTAAAGTTACCTTGCCATCTGTTGACCCATAATCAATACCACTCTATAAGAAAGGTATTCTTTCATGGTACACAGAAGAAACTGAAGTCTTGAAGGTGACATCAGCAGCTTTTGTGCTGATGAACTTGAAGGTTGATAGCAGTGATATTTCCTCTGTGATTGAAGCATTTATTTTTACTGGATATTTGGCATTTGTGATTTCTGATTTTCTCCAAATGCACTAGGTGTTCTTGGAAATGCCCTAAAGTCATAGCATAAAAGTAATTATAGGCCAGGTGGTGATGGCACATGCCTTTAATCTCTGCACTCAGGAAGCAGAGGCAGGAGGATTTTTGTGAGTTATAGGCCAGCCTTGTGTACGTAGTGAGTTCCAAAAGAATCAGGGCTAATAAAGAATTCTTCTATAAAAACAATAACAACAACAAAGTGTAATTACAAATACTTCTTTAATGTCCCACAAGAATTTTTTTATTATATCAATTGTAATTATGAAAGCCTGTTCTGAGAGCATTTTTCATAAAAATGTTTATCCTTCCCCAATTATTCAACAAAATGGACATACTGATAGAGATTAAATTCTGCAAGAAATTTCAAAAAGGATTATTCAGTTATCCTGAGACAGAGAAGAGCAACGGGCAGAAACATAGCCTTCACTCATAGCTAGGACATTCAACTACTCTAACCCTGTTGGATAAAAAGCAAGTAGCCACTAAACATAGATATGCTATAACACAATGCATACAAGGTCAGTCTACAGACATAGATTTTAAATTTTCTTAGACTTATTTAATGTATGCTTTTCAGACAGAGCCTCACACTGTAGCTCTGGCTGGACTGGAACTCAACAGAAATCTACCTGCTTCTACATCCTAAGGGCTGGGATTGGACGCATGTGCCACGTGGGTTCTGAAATCAAATATAACTCCTTTCTAAGAACAGCAAATTCCCTTAACCACTCAGCCATCTCCCTAGCCTCATCACTATAGAATTAAGAGCTACATGAAATTACAAAGAAAGGTGAGGTAAAATAAGGAGACCTCAGAAAATGCATAAGGTCTCTTAACAAGTTAGCAAGGCCTTGGTGTGTAGATTATATACTGAACATTAATGCTTTCCTTGTTGTCCTTATTTAACTCACCTTTCTTTATCCCTCTCCCACATGCTCCTCTTCTACAGACTTGCTTGTCTGACTCTATAATGTGCCACTGTCTCACTTGGCCACAGGGGTCCAGCGCCCTTACAAAATGAAAGCAAATTTCTCCTGGAAGGGAGCCAACTGGCAGCTGACAGAGTAGGATTTTTGTTGAGTTGCAGCCAAAAGTTCAACTTGGAAATATGAGACCAGACCGTATACAGACCAGTAGGTGGACTTTGGTGAGCAAAAAGGCAACACATGGCCTACTCTATATGAAGATTATTGGTGAGACTTTCCTTATTTATATGTTGTGCATATTCTTATTAGCTGTCTTCGAATATGTATATTGAAAAGCCTACAAAACAGGGATATTTTGTACTGTATCAGTTTGAGGACATAAGACCAAGGTGTTACTTATTTCTAGAAATTACTTCATTATGCATCTCAAACCATAGAAGGTAGTTCTTCTATAGAACCAGATTAAAATTCAAATGCAAGGACTGCTCAAATATATTATATGGCTACTTGCATTATCTTTTTTTATTTTACAAAATAATTATACTGATCATTAAAGTACTCCATAATAATTCCATTAAGTGATGAATACATGTAATTATTTGTAGTATGAATCTTTGAGAGTCTTATTAATAAAATCAAACCTGTGAGCCAGGTATTGAAGTGAAACTGGAAGATCAGAGATACAGAACAAGCCACAGCTACCTCACCTCGCCAGATCCTCAGCTGGACTTGTTTCCTCAGACTGGAGGCCTCTGAGTCTTCATCCAGAATGGGTCTCAGCTGAACTGCTGCTCAAAAGCCTGAAGCTTAACTAGCTAAAAGCTTAACCAGCCAAATACTTGTAGTTTCTGGTCCTCACGCCTTATATACCTTTCTGGTTTCTACCACCACTCCCTGGGATTAAAGGCTTGCTTTCTGGGATTAAAGGCGTGATGAGTCACCATGCCTGCCTGTATCCTTGAACACATGGATATCTGCCTCTGGAATGCTAAGATTAAAGGTGTGTGCTACCACTGCCTAACCTCTATGTTTAATATTGTGGCTGTTCTTTCTCTGACCCCAGATAAGTTTATTAGAATGTACAGTATTTGGGGAAATATAATACCACAATTATTTATTATTAAAGTATGAAAAAATAAGAAAGTGATGTAGTCATACATGAGAATAGAGTTTATTGCTGGAATGGCCTTTGTATTTTTTTTTTAAGTGAAGTGAATCTCTTTACTTGGAAGTTGTTGAAATGTTCTAAATTGAGTTAATACTGGAGCTGGTGGAGTGTCTAAATTGAAAGAATATGTTTTGTTCCATACTTATCATCCAACTTGTTTTGGTTATTGCTTTAAAAACTAAAGTTTTATAAGTGATCATTATATCCATGAAGAAAAGTATATTATAAAATGGTTTGTCTGCCTAGGATGTTTAACATTATGTTCTGAGTACAGGACAGTTGAAACACGCATAAATTCAAGTCATGCAATCAACAACTGCCTCAGCTTTACATGACATCAAATATATCACTGGAGAAAAAAGACAGAGGGAGGGAGCTTTGGATGAGTTTGAATTTATGAGTAAAAATATAAGAACTGAAATTTATTTTTGACGCATGATTCCTTTTAATTAGTATTACATGGCTTTCTAAAAACCCAAACTCAAAAACATACCTCAAAAGAAAATATAATACTACTTTTACAATATGCATGGATGCTTTTCTCTATATGTACTTATATAAAAGTAAGTTTTCTAGCTGAAATTACCATACAATTTCTTTATAAGAATTGCTACAAAAGTACCTTAAGGCTTAAATTGAATTCAACAAATATATACTCATACCATAAATCACTTAAAATATATAAGAATAATTTCAGTTTTTGAGATTATAATATAATTACATCATTTATCCCTTCACTTTCTTCCTCCCAGACTCTGTCATGCATTCCTCCATGTTCTTTCTCAAATTCATGGCATCCTCTTTCAGTTATTATTATTACACACACACACACACACACACACACACACACACACACACACACACACACACAAGCACACACATACACACACACTCACCTAAACACATAAGTATAACTTATTCAGTCCATAAAATGTTACTTGTTCAGATATGCTAATATGGATAGAAAAAATCCAGGAGATCTTATCGTACCTAACAAACTATAGGCAACCAAAGAATGCTGAGAGTGTGAGAATTTTTTCCCTGATGGAATAGTACACCAATTGGTTAACCAATACCTAATGTTTAGCCCTGAAAACGTACATAAAGCATAATTTAAACACAAGATAATGTGGAGAGTTAGGGGTGACTTAAGGAGTCTAGGGTTTTATGTTCTTATTTCCACTGGTACTCTAGCTTAGCTCACTATATCATTGTCCTTCTCTCATTTGCATGGCATTAAAACCTATCCAGTTCTAAGAAAGAGCTTCAAGAAGAAATTTAAATGGCTGCAAAACTGAAGTAAACACTAATTACAATACAGCTGTTCAAAGACAAGAGGACAATTAGAACATCAAAATAGTGACTACTTAAAGACTATTTTAATAATCACTACATATTTGACAAACTAGCATAACCTGTGTACTGCCTGGTAATAATGCTAAGACATTAAATAAGAAAAAGTGTATCATATCAATGAAGCTAATTGAAAGTGAAGTGATGGAAAATTTTAATTAACTTTGTGAACTGTCTTTGTCTCTGTCAATTACCTCAATTATACCATAGAAACATTGGACAAAAATCTGTATTCAAGTTCTGACCGGACTGATGTGAAACACTTCCTTGGTCGATAAGAGGTAAATCATTGCACTTTTATAAAAAATAATGATATAGAATAAAGTGATAGTGGTTGAAAATAAATGAAGGGAGAAATATGTACAGCTACTAGGTGAATCACAGAGACATATTGAAATAAGCCAGGAGCATCTGCTGGTACAAGAACGTTAATCAGCTGTGTGGAGAATCAGCTCCCTCCTTTTATATTGTTGACTCAAAAAATAGGCATAATGCACATATATAATAATTAAATTCATACATATTTGTCACTCTAGTTACCAATTTCTCAAATGAGTGATGGTCACATAAATGTCTGGCTACAAGCAAAAAAAATCAACATATTTATAAAATATAATATGATTTCTTCCTTTTTGCCTTTTCTATGATATGCGATTAAATATAGAATACATTTAGAAGTAACTTTCTAAAATCAGTTGGAATAGATGTGTGTGTACTTAAATATTCAAAATGGTTAAACATCCATTTTACAAATATTTTTTGAGTTGTTCTAATAGTTTTGAGTGTTTATTATTCCAAGTAAAGCTATGGAATTAACTAAATAGTCATTTATTTTAGTATTTTAAAAGCTTCTACAATGATTATACAAGTGTGGTAGTTTGTATGTAATTGGCCCCCATAATCTCATAGGGAGTAGTATTACTAGAAGGTGTAGCTTTGTTGGAATAGGGGCAGACATTTTTGGGGAAGTGTGTCTTTGTGTGGGTGGGCTTTGAGGTCTCATATAGCCTCAAGGTACTGTCTCTCATGAGAGACGACTTCCTGTCGCCTCCAAGATGTAGGACTCTCAGCTACAACTACAGCACCACATCTGCCTGCATTCCAACATGTCCAACCATGATGATAATGGACTGAACCTCTGAACTGTAAGCAAACCACCCCAATGAAATGTTTAGCTTTGTAAGAGTTGTTATGGTCATTGGTGTCCCTTAACAGAAATAGAAAGCCTAACTAACGCAATAATATACCCTGTACACATATTACAGGCATCCAATGTGAATGAGACATTATTCTAGGCATGATTGATATGCATGGAAAGGAATCAGCTAAAAAACAAACTGTGATTATATATCATTTTTCAATCTAAAGAAAGATCTTACCCTCTGGTCTATGGACAACATATATTTTATATACTTCTTTAGAATTGCTTCAAGTTTTAAGCAAAAAAGGCTATATGAATACTAATATCTATGTTTGTTGATATTTTGAGAATTTTCTTGTATTTGCTGAATGTGATCTCATCCAATGACCTCATAATTGAGGAAATGCTAGCCGAACTTGAATTATTAAAAGTCTCAACATTAACATCTGATTTGGTTTAAAAAATCCTTTTAGTAGCATATACTGATTAATAGTGATGAATGAATGAAATAAAAACAGACACATGATTCATGTAGATGAAGACCTACAAAATATATGTGATTAAACTTTGGCAAAGGATATAGCAACATTCCAAAGAAATGGTTTACCTAGTTTTATGCTTCTCACTTTGACAAAAATAATCTTAGATAGGTTAAAAGAGCCCTGTTGAAAGTGAATGTGAAAGTTTTATAATACTAGTTGAAACATGAGGCTTTCTAAATCTCTTTATGCCTTCTGGTTACAGGCCTCCTCTCTGCTATAATCTGACATGCGAATGGAACTGTAACTCTCCAAATGTTTTCTCTGTATGAACAAATTTATTCCTTTCCTTGCCTCTTCTATCATTTTATAATTAATGTACACCATGTATTATTAAAATGTAGCTATGCTTGTGTGTAAACATGCTTTACTAACAGTTATTATTACATTGAGAATGATGTAAGTGTATAGAAAAGGGGTTAAAAGAGTCATACCCTCCACTGTTAGCAAATGGATGTGAACTAAAGGTAAATATACCAGTTCTACAATGGTGATCAATTTTAAAACAGCTAAACCGAGATTCATTTTCACATTTCTATTTACTGTTTCCATAGTTTATTAGCTACTTTCCAGTTACCTAAGCAGGGTCTAAGGACTTTTTGAATAAATCTTTTAAAAATCACATGTATTTATAAAAGACCTATTCTTGAAATGATACTAAATATTTGAGACGGCACCTCCATATACAGTTGTGAACATAATTATTTACTCATTCTCCTTCTGAGCAAGTAATATGCAAGGTCAGCAATTGTAGAGCTTGAAGAACTGTTATACCATGCAGGAAAGGCAATGGCATACTGAGCTATCTAAGTGTGACACCAAATGTGGTGGTTTGAATGGGAATGGCTCATGTAGGCTCATACATTTGAATGTTTGGATTCTAGTTAATAGAACTGTGTGGGAAAGAATAGGAAGTGGGGCCTTATTGGGGGAAGTGAGTCACTAGGGGTGGATTTTGAGGTTTCAAAAGCTCCAGCATGAATCAATGTGTCTGTTTCTCTTCCTTTCTCTTTCTCCCTCCCTCTCTGCCACCTGCCTCTCTCTCTCTCTCTCTCTCTCTCTCTCTCTCTC